CACTCGAGTCCCAACAGCTACACGCGATTCCCAACAGCTCACTCGAGTCCCAACAGCTACACTCGATTCCCAGCTACACTCGAGTCCCAACAGCTCACTCGAGTTCCAACAGCTACACTCGAGTCCCAACAGCAATATTCGAGTTCAAACAGCTCACTCGAGTCCCAACAGCTACACTCGAGTCCCAACAGCAATACTCGAGTTCCAACAGCAACACTCGAGTCCAAACAGCTACACTCGAGTCCCAACAGCTTCACTCGGGTCTCAACAGCTACACTCGAGTCCCAACAGCTCACTCGAGTCTCAACAGCTACACTCGAGACCCAACAGCAATACTCGAGTCCCAATAGCTACACTCGAGTCCCAACAGCTTCATTCGAGTCCCAACAGCTTCACTCGAGTCCCACCAGCTACACTCGAGTCCCAACAGCAATACTCGAGTCCTAACAGCTACAAATGAGTCCCAACAGCTACACTCGTGTCCCAACAGCTTCACTCGAGTCCCAACAGCTTCACTCGAGTCCCAACAGCTTCACTCGAGTCCCAACAGCTACACTCGATTCCCAGCTACACTCGGGTCCCAACAGCTCACTCGAGTTCCAACAGCTACACTCGAGTCCCAACAGCAATATTCGAGTTCAAATAGCTCACTCGATTCCCAACAGCTACACTCGAGTCCCAACAGCAATACTCGAGTCCCAACAGCAACACTCGAGTCCAAACAGCTACCTTCGAGTCCCAACAGCTTCACTCGGGTCTCAACAGCTACACTCGAGTCCCAACAGCTCACTCGAGTCCCAACAGCTACACTCGATTCCCAGCTACACTCGAGTCCCAACAGCTCACTCGAGTTCCAACAGCTACACTCGAGTCCCAACAGCAATATTCGAGTTCAAATAGCTCACTCGAGTCCCAACAGCTACACTCGAGTCCCAACAGCAATACTCGAGTCCCAACAGCAACACTCGAGTCCAAACAGCTACACTCGAGTCCCAACAGCTTCACTCGGGTCTCAACAGCTACACTCGGGTCTCAACAGCTACACTCGAGTCCCAACAGCTCACTCGAGTCCCATCAGCTACACTCGAGTCAAAACAGCGATACTCGAGTCCCAACAGCTACAATCGAGTCCCAACAGCTTCACTCGAGTCCCAACAGCTTCACTCGAGTCCCACCAGCTACACTCGAGGCCCAACAGCAATACTCGAGTCCTAACAGCTACAAATGAGTCCCAACAGCTACACTCGTGTCCCAACAGCTTCATTCGAGTCCCAACAGCTACACTTGATCCCAACAGCTTCACTAGAGTCCTAACAGCTTCACTCGAGTCCCAACTGCTTCACTCGAGTCCCAACAGCTACACTCGATCCCAACAGCAATACTCGAGTCCCAACAGCTACAAACGAATCCCAACAGCTACACTCGAGTCCCAGGTACACTCGAGTCCCAACAGCTCACTCGAGTTCCAACAGCTACACTCGAGTCCCAACAGCAACATTCGAGTACGAACAGCTTCACTCGAGTCCCAACAGCTACACTCGAGTCCCAACAGCTCACTCGAGTCCCAACAGCTACACTCGAGTCCCAACAGCAATACTCGAGTCCCAACAGCTACAAACGAGTCCCAACAGCTTCAATCGAGTCCCAACAGCTACACTCGAGTCCCAACAGCTAAACTCGAGTCCCAACTGCAATACTCGAGTCCCAACAGCTTCACTCGAGTCCCAACAGCAATACTCGAGTCCCAAGAGCTACACTCGAGTCCCAACAGCTTCACTCGAGTCCCAACAGCTACACTCGAGTCCCAACAGCTCACTCGAGTCCCAGCTACACTCGAGTCCCAACAGCTACACTCGAGTCCCAACAGCAATACTCGAGTCCCAACAGCTACACTCGAGTCCCAACAGCTTCAATCGAGTCCCAACAGCTACACTCGAGTCCCAACAGCTAAACTCGAATCCCAACAGCAATACTCGAGTCCCAACAGCTACACTCGAGTCCCAGCTTCAATCGAGTCCCAACAGCTACACTCGAGTCCCAACAGCAATACTCGAGTCCCAACAGCTACACTCGAGTCCCAACAGCTTCAATCGAGTCCCAACAGCTCATTCGAGTCCCAACAGCTAAACTCGAATCCCAACAGCAATACTCGAGTCCCAACAGCTCACTCGAGTCCCAGCTTCAATCGAGTCCCAACAGCTACACTCGAGTCCCAACAGCAATACTCGAGTCCCAACAGCTACACTCGAGTCCCAACAGCTTCAATCGAGTCCCAACAGCTACACTCGAGTCCCAACAGCTAAACTCGAATCCCAACAGCAATACTCGAGTCCCAACAGCTACACTCGAGTCCCAGCTTCAATCGAGTCCCAACAGCTACACTCGAGTCCCAACAGCAATACTCGAGTCCCAACAGCTACACTCGAGTCCCAACAGCTTCAATCGAGTCCCAACAGCTCACTCGAGTCCCAACAGCTAAACTCGAATCCCAACAGCAATACTCGAGTCCCAACAGCTCACTCGAGTCCCAGCTTCAATCGAGTCCCAACAGCTACACTCGAGTCCCAACAGCAATACTCGAGTCCCAACAGCTACACTCGAGTCCCAACAGCTTCAATCGAGTCCCAACAGCTACACTCGAGTCCCAACAGCTAAACTCGAATCCCAACAGCAATACTCGAGTCCCAACAGCTCACTCGAGTCCCAGCTTCAATCGAGTCCCAACAGCTACACTCGAGTCCCAACAGCAATACTCGAGTCCCAACAGCTACACTCGAGTCCCAACAGCTTCAATCGAGTCCCAACAGCTACACTCGAGTCCCAACAGCAATACTCGAGTCCCAACAGCTACACTCGAGTCCCAGCTACACTCGAGTCCCAACAGCTACACTCGAGTCCCAACAGCAATACTCGAGTCCCAACAGCTACACTCGAGTCCCAACAGCTTCAATCGAGTCCCAACAGCTACACTCGAGTCCCAACAGCTAAACTCGAATCCCAACAGCAATACTCGAGTCCCAACAGCTCACTCGAGTCCCAGCTTCAATCGAGTCCCAACAGCTACACTCGAGTCCCAACAGCAATACTCGAGTCCCAACAGCTACACTCGAGTCCCAACAGCTTCAATCGAGTCCCAACAGCTACACTCGAGTCCCAACAGCTAAACTCGAATCCCAACAGCAATACTCGAGTCCCAACAGCTCACTCGAGTCCCAGCTTCAATCGAGTCCCAACAGCTACACTCGAGTCCCAACAGCAATACTCGAGTCCCAACAGCTACACTCGAGTCCCAACAGCTTCAATCGAGTCCCAACAGCTACACTCGAGTCCCAACAGCTAAACTCGAATCCCAACAGCAATACTCGAGTCCCAACAGCTCACTCGAGTCCCAGCTTCAATCGAGTCCCAACAGCTACACTCGAGTCCCAACAGCAATACTCGAGTCCCAGCAGCTACACTCGAGTCCCAACAGCTTCAATCGAGTCCCAACAGCTACACTCGAGTCCCAACAGCTAAACTCGAATCCCAACAGCAATACTCGAGTCCCAACAGCTCACTCGAGTCCCAGCTTCAATCGAGTCCCAACAGCTACACTCGAGTCCCAACAGCAATACTCGAGTCCCAACAGCTACACTCGAGTCCCAACAGCTTCAATCGAGTCCCAACAGCTACACTCGAGTCCCAACAGCTAAACTCGAATCCCAACAGCAATACTCGAGTCCCAACAGCTCACTCGAGTCCCAGCTTCAATCGAGTCCCAACAGCTACACTCGAGTCCCAACAGCAATACTCGAGTCCCAACAGCTACACTCGAGTCCCAACAGCTTCAATCGAGTCCCAACAGCTACACTCGAGTCCCAACAGCTAAACTCGAATCCCAACAGCAATACTCGAGTCCCAACAGCTCACTCGAGTCCCAGCTTCAATCGAGTCCCAACAGCTACACTCGAGTCCCAACAGCAATACTCGAGTCCCAACAGCTACACTCGAGTCCCAACAGCTTCAATCGAGTCCCAACAGCTACACTCGAGTCCCAACAGCTAAACTCGAATCCCAACAGCAATACTCGAGTCCCAACAGCTCACTCGAGTCCCAGCTTCAATCGAGTCCCAACAGCTACACTCGAGTCCCAACAGCAATACTCGAGTCCCAACAGCTACACTCGAGTCCCAACAGCTTCAATCGAGTCCCAACAGCTACACTCGAGTCCCAACAGCTAAACTCGAATCCCAACAGCAACAATGGAGTCCCAAAAGCAACACTCGAGACCCAACAACTTCACTCGACAACACTCGATAATGACGAGAACAAACTGTTCGCTCTAATTTAAGGGCACTAATGGTCCCATTAGGGGCGCCAAAATGCGCGCGTAAGTCTCCCGAAATCGTAAAAAATATCGATTTTCAAACAATTGAATTAATGAGCATCTTTTCGGCAAAATAACTCTGGAAATCCATAATTTAAACATTTTTCGAACATACTTTTTAATCGGTAACATCGGCCATATTCTTCTGGTTAACTCGGAGCAATTGTCCAAATCTGTTCTGGTTAACTCGGAGCAACTGTTCTTCTGGTTAACTCGGAGCAACTCCTCGGGTTAACATGTTTAAAGGCTAGGGTATGGGGAGATTTGTATCCACGCCACCTGACAAATCAGTATAGCCGGTACGTAAGCTTAGGGCGCTCGGCCAACTGATCTTAAAGGCATTTATATTTTGGTCAATTTTATATGCATTTTTACTCTCGTTACATTTGCCTTATTGCAGCCCAGAGTCCTACCCATTAATTGGCTTGTTTTTAAATATTTGATCAATAAACAATCACTCTATCTAGTTTTTGGCTCAAACTTCAACCAATCAGAATTCAGACAAATTTTGTGACTTATGCGACTGATTTTTTATTTTGGGTCCAATGAATATTGGGACCTATTGAAATTCACCAACCTCATTAGGAAATGCAACTCGATTTGTAGAGCGTGTGACTGCTCAAATAAAATAAAGGGGTCTCATTTCAAAAAGAGTGAACCATCATTTATCTTCTGCAAGAAGTTAGAACAAAAGTATCCACGCCTCCTTTTTTCCTTCTGCCAAAGTTACCCTATGTGTTTAGTTATTGGGTCTACCGAGTTTACCGTTTGTCACATTATCTTGATTCTATTCGATCGGAAAGAGCATGATCTACAATATCTTTACAATGCGATATCAAGAGTCCGAGTACTGTGCCGTGTTCACGTAATAGTCAATAACAGAAATCATAGAAGGCGCTTTAAGAAAAAGTTGAATTTTTTATTGCGATTTTTTCGAGATGCAAGAATTGAAGACGAAAATGAAAATGTAGCCGAGCTATCGAATTTGATGTGCAGGACAAGATATGAAGAACCGTTTTATTGTGATTGCTTGTCGTCATATCCATCGTCTTCATCAGCGTCGTCGTCATCAGCTATCAGATTCGAAACAATGCTACAAGCAGGCAAGGATCTAGGAATTTCTCGAGGAGGGGAAAATTTTGTCCACTTTTTTTTAGGTCGACCAAATTGATTTTGAGCACTCCCAAACCATTATAAAGACCCTTATTTGAACAAATTTTCTGCGACGCAGGCAAATTTTTGAAAAAAAAGACTAAAAAATGCGTTTTTAGGCAATTCTTGGAAAATTTCGACCGAAAAATCGCGTTTTTTAGTAGGCGCCTTTAGAAAAATTTTAAGGTCAGTCAGCCGAAAATAGATATCTCAAAATAGTACAAAGGGTCGGCAGGGGGTCGAATCCCTGAAAAAGGGGTGTCAGACCCCATCCCCCCTCCCTAAATCCGCTACTGGCTACAAGGCAATACAAGGGAAACTAGGGCTTTTTCCCCCTATACACATTTCATAAATTCTATGTTTATAGTTGAAATTTTGAAAACTATTGTATCGCTAATTGCATGTTACAATGGCGAGCAAATTGACGATGAAGAACAAAAAGTTGCTTTGAAACAAGTTGAAAATAGGAAGCTGTGAAATAGGTAGTTGAATCAAACTGTAAAACAACCGACTGAATTATGCTGCAACAAATTGTAATAAAAATTTAACTGAACCATTCCACCATCCCCTCCTTCCGATGTTTTTTTCTAATAAAACTAATATTTCTGGAAAAATGAGCTTTGAAAAACTATTTTGAATGTTATTTATCCATCAATTCATCCATTTGACCAAATGTTTCAGAGCAGTGGAAGACGACTGCAGATACAATGCTGAGAGGATCGAGTGGAGAGAGCTTAGAATATACAGCTTTTGAGATCCGCAATGCAGTATATGGTATGTACCCTACGACGAGCATTGAAATAGTCACTGTCTATGCTAGAGGTAGTGACTATAGTTTCAAGTGTAAAGATGGAGTTGGTGAGACAGCAGAGTGGATAGACAAGACAGACTGTCCCTACAACATGCACATCTACCTTGTCTATCCTCCACACCATAACTGCAGAAGAGCTGTAACTCAGGAAGACATGGAGAAGGCAGATAGTGTGGCGGAGAGTGTGTTGTCTCATATGGACAGAAGAGAGGGTATGACCTCACAGGAGATAAGAGATGAGGTCATTATTCGACTGAAGAAAAGTGGGTCAAAGTGGATGTGGATAGGAGTCGGTAGAGGAGAGGGATATTTTGAGGCCTGTGTTATCGACTTTCGTCAGGTTAAAAAAAATGGCTCTTACTACACTATTTCGGCCTTCCTGGGAGACTAAACTGCACCAAATAGCTTAAACCTCTAACTTATTTGTATATTTTTCATCATATTTCACTCAACAAAACTATAAACCCAGTGCAAATGATTTTTTTTAAATTTTCCGCTTAACTGTCAAGAACAATACAAACGAACTACCATAAATGTAAATTCAAATATTATTCAAAAAAAAATTTTTTGTTAATTTGTTTTCCTTTTTTTATCAAACACCCTTTTTTCGAAGTGAAGCGTGTTCCACAAAACTCAGAATTTGATATAATATGTTAATCTGATTGATTTCCGGACAAACGGAAAACCAAAGCGTCTTGTTTTTTTAATGCGAAGTTTTTGTAAAGTTGTTGTATATCAGGAGACTCAGATGAAACTAAGACCAAGACTTATATCATCTTGTAGATATAGACATGTAAATAATTAAAGTGTATAAATAGTGTCATGACAAAACAATTTATATCGACTTAAATCTTACTTAAGTCGACAGAGAGTGTATAGAAAGTTAAGCACCAATTTAACCGCGGTGCGACAGGTCGTCAACGACCTTGAACTCCAAATGAAACAATTGACTGATATGAGTGTGACATAATAGTGTGCACAGAATTAGTACTGTAACACATTTCCCCCTCTAGAGGAAAATTTTTATGGAATATATGAATTTTAATGAAAGAGATACACAATTTTGGAATTTCGACTAAGAAAAAAAAATAATTTTGATGAATGAGTAAGGTGCATAAAAAGTTTTGGCTGAGTTTGAGATGATACGAATTTTAATGACTAATTGATACGAGGTTATTCTCATTTCTCCTCAATGGGTTTTCTGAGGACCACTTTGACGAACAGGATTTAGCGAACTTCCTTGTGAAGCATGCAGAATCATAGGATGAACTGGCCCAAAATCTTGAGTTTTCCGGTCGGCCTGTCCTGAACGAAACGGACCCGTTTATTGGGAGAGATTACTTCGGGACTCGAGAACTGAGGCTGTCCTGGCGGGGAGCTGATAGATTTGAGTAGTAGATGTCGGAGATGATCAGAGGGAATCAAGGGTGACCCGCATAATTTAAGATAGGTAATAGATCAACCGGTCACCAGCTATGTATAAACATTGGCTATAGAGTCTACAATGTATTAGGACAGGGGAAACCAATGGTAAGGTTTCAGTGTGATGGCTAGAAATTGAAAAAAGAAATTTTTTCAGATTTTGTGTGGAAATGTATAGTTTTTGTCGCATACGTTTAGGCGCGCGTTATCTTTTTGTTGAAAATAACTGGTTAATTCTATGTAGATTGTGGAGTGAAGGTTTTTGAGGTCTTGGAGTGAAGGTTTTTTTGAAACATGGTAAATCAATGGCAAGAGTTTTTGAGCAAAAATCACGATAAGTTTGGTATAATTCAAAATATCAATTAATTTATTACTTTTTGAAACAGTGTTCTATCTACCTGAAACTATAATGAACCTCCTAAAATTTCGAAAAATTTTTTTTATTTTTAGAAGAAAAAAAGTTAAATTACAAAGAAAGTATATAAATCACTGTTTTGTATATTAAGTTTCCCGCAATAATTTACCTTTTAATCTCATAAAACCAATATAATACGACCTCATAAATAAAGTTACTACATCAAAACAGTTCTTATAAATTCAATGGTTTGTATTAATTCCATCATCTTGAACTTGCCTTTTTGGATAAAAATAATTAAGTCCTTTCTTTGTTTGCTCATATGTGACCACCATATGATTTACAATTCTGAATCATCTGTTAGTAGATGTAAACTTAACTGATTCATCGAGTACTCTCCTGTACTTTGTCATAGGACCGTCTCCAGAATCTTCTAGTACCCGTTTGTTTTATCATTTGCTGCAAAATTTGACCTTATCGGACTTGTTGTCATAACAGCAATATGTTTTGCTACACAAATATAGCATTTCTGTACATCTAAGTTCCTCTTTGAAAAGTCCCGGCTCCCGTTTGTCATGCTCTCTATGCGTACTGCAACAAGTTTGAGGAAAAAATTAAGGTTTTCACCCGCCTTTAAAGAGTCTCTGCAGTTATTTTCCCAATCAGCTCTCTTACCTGGTTGGATAAAGTCGTATAAAGTTTTTTCAGCAAAGTTTAATAAAGTTTTTTCCACATCACGGAATTCAAAGTGATGTAAACGACCCGCATAAGTGATGTAAACGACCCGATGTTACATCACTGCAGTATGAAAAATCCAACAATGATGGGTTCTCTGTGTTCAATGGTTGATTTCCGCAATTCGACCTCCTAAAACTCTTTTTCAATTGTGTTCAGTCTTTTAAACACTGGTTCATTGCTCATTTAGGAGTTTTTTTCTATCGTTCAGATACTTCGTAATTAAATGCCTGGGTCTATCCAGGATCTGATATCCATAGAAAGAATTGCCTAAAAGCTTCATAGTTTCCGCTACACTTCCTGATAGAAGGTTTTCATCACCTTCTTTTCTCGCATCACCCACTGATTGAACGAAATTAATGAAACGTTTTCGTGGAGTATACTGAACAAATAGGTAAATTTTGATGCACTAAGCTAAGTTCCAAATAAAACTGAACTGAGGAGTTAAAACCGTTCCATTTTCTAGCTTGAAACTTGATATCAGCATTCTCTGAGGATGTTTTAACAATTCTTTCCCGATTGCGTAATTCTTCACGTAGTCTCCAATATCGTTTCTTTCAACTCAGTATTTTTGATAATTGGAGGAAATTTGGCAAATTTTGATTTCAGTTCATCTGGAACAATTAAATCGCGTTGAACATAGCCAAAAGTGATCCATCTTTTATTGTCGCTCGAAATAAGTCTATAGAAAGAGGTCTCTTTTAAGAAAAATGGATTTTGACATGATTTTTGATCTTGTCATTGGTTTTGAAAATTTCCCACCACTCGCACTCCCACATTCAATCAACTTTTATCTTTTTTCACTGATGTATTCGCGTCTCATATCGTCCATCTCTCTCTTCTTACTACCTAGTTCAATATCTTGATCTGTTAAGGAGGGACAAACTTCTTGACAGTTACAGAATTGGTAGTAACATCCCATTGCTTCGATCTTTATGTGACAGAAATACATAAAAGAGAAAGGATACAAAGCTGAAGGAATGTGGGAGTATGAGTGATGGGAAAGTTTCCAAACCGATGACAAGATCAAAAAAAAAATACAAAACCCAATTTCATACTAAAGACTTCTTTCTACAGACTCATTTCGAGCGACAATAAAAGATGGATCACTTGATGTTCAACGCGATTAAGTTGTTCCAGATGAACTGAAACCAAAAACTTTTCAATAATTTCGTTCAATCAGTAGAAGTTGCGAGAAAAGAAGGTGATGAAAACCTTCTATCAGGAAGTGTAGCGGAAACTATGAAGCTTTCAGGCAATTCTTTCTATGGATATCAGATCATGGATAGATCCAGGCATACAATTACGAAGTATCTGAACGATAAAAAAAACTCCTAAATGAGCAATGAACCACTGTTCAAAAGGTTGAATACAGTTAAAAGACTCGTAAGATGTGGAGTTGTTGAAATCAATCATTGAGCATAGATAACTCATCATCGTTGGATTTTTCAAACTGCAGTATGCAAAACTGATATTGTTGGAGCTCTACTCTAACTTGTTTGACGAATTCTGTGATGTAAAGGAGTTTGAAGAGTTAGAGATGAACACAGACTCACTTCACTTGCCACTTGTTAAAGAAAACTTATATGACTGTACCAGCCGGAAAAAAAGATATTTGAGTAAAATGAGGGAAAATGACTGCAGAAACTCTTTCAAGGCAGATTCAAAATCTAATTTCTTCCCTCGAACGGGTTTTAGTATCCATCAAAAGCATAATTTAAAGAGGAATTTAGATGCACAGAAATGCTATGTTTATGAAGCAAATCTTATTGCTGCTATGACAATAAGTCAGATAAATTCAAGTTCAGTAGTAAAGGTTTAAGCAAACGAGTTCTAGAAGTTTTTGGAGACGGACCCATGTCAAATTGCATGAGAGTGCTCGATGAAGCAATCAAATTAACATCCACAAATGAAAAATTCAGAACCGTAAACCACATGGTGGCCACATATGAGCAATCAAAGAAAGGACTTGGTTATTTTTATCCAAAAAAAAACAAGTTCAAGTTGATATAATTCATTCAAAACCATTGAATTTATAAGAATTGATGCAATGTAATAGAATCCAAAAAAGAGATGCAGTCTATTAAATTTTTGTACAATGCAGTAATTTGTTGGTGTTTCAATAAAAAGTTGCGGTTAATTTCAAATACGATGCAGTGATTCAAATACTTTCTTTGTAATTTAATTTTTTTCTCTCGAAAGTTTCAAAAAGTAATAAATAAATTGATAGTTCGAATTTTACAAAAAGTTTTGTGTTTTGAGTTGTTTTTAGATAAAAAAATCAGTTTTTTTGATAAAAAACCAAAATTTTTGCTCAAAAACTCTTGCCATTGACTTACCATGTACCAAAAAACTAATTAAAAGACCTGCATTCTACAACTTAGACGTAATTAACGAGTGATATTTAACAATCAGATATCCTTATCCCTATCTTAAATCATGGGGGTCACGAGGGAGCCCGCCACTTTAGATTCAACATCTACTACTAATAGCCGAGCTTAATAAATTGTTTACATTAATTATATCAAAATTTCCGCGAAATTGTTTCACGTCGCTTGAACAACTTTTTTTATTCCACTCATTCGAGAAAGAGTTCACTACGATGCAAAATTTAGTGCAGATGAAGAAAACTGGCATTTTCAGACCCAGGTAAAACTTTAATAATAAATTTGGTTATATCATAAAGGGTAGTTTTGATCAATTGCTTTATGTCTAGGTAAAAATTTAGCTGAAAATTGAGGTAAATTTCGTCCAAAATCGTCATTACAAAAACGCGTTTTAGACAAGAAAAACGTGAACTTGCGCTTAGTTTTTTCTAATAGTTTAAGTTCGAAGCCACATTTTAACTTTGATCTTTCGTTTTCTTTTGTATCAGCTCCTTTTGATGTGCATGTCTGTCGTTTGAAAAAAATTTTTTAGATTTATTGATTACTCAGAGTCATTTTTCAAGGCAAGACCAGGGAGTCCAGCTTCAGCTCTATCGAAAGATAGACAAAAAATTTAGTGC